ATATATATATATGCTATTAAAATTTTAAATAATGTTATTAGTGTTATCAAAATTTTTATTTCTACATTATATTATTTTTACGTTACATTGGAGCAATGAACTCTTGCATAGAGTTCCTTTCTAGAAGGGGATTCATTATTTTGTAAGTTGTCCTGACTATCTGCGAATGTTTTCTTTGTGTGTGTCCCCTCTTTCGGCAATATGAATATAGCCGTTAACCGTCACTCGATTTGAAGAAGAGCTAGCATTAACATCGTGTTCTGCGGAGTGTTAAAAAAGTGAAAAAATGGAAGAAGCAAGCGCAAGTACTAGTGCAGAAAATTTTCCAGAATCCATTACAGAAGTGGAAAAAAATATAGATAATCAAAAAAGAAACGATCTGACTAACGCTCTTATATACTGCAAAAGTTTGCTCGAGGCTGAAAATCTTCTTACAAATACACCGTCAACTGAAATATCAGCCGCTTCTATAGCCATGGGTGAAGAAATTTTTAAAGAAATTATTTTCATGTTGGAGGACAGACAAATAGTAACGAATGAATGTTTAATCAGTGCTGAAAAATTTAACATAGATAATGAAGAGAAATATGAGGAGGTATGTTTTAAATTTTTTACTAATATTTTTAGTATTTGTTTCTGGAAGCAATAAAGCATAATTGTCATAAGCAAAACATAACACGCAATTATTTTGCTAATTATCATAGTGTACAGACAAGACAAGCAGTTCGAGTCCAGAATTCGAACCTGGTGAGGAAACGCTGCGATCTCATGATCACATTCCTTTAGAATATAAGGAAAAGGCGGTTGCTTTAATACAATTGCATCTCAAATGGTCTATAAAGACATTAAAAAGACAAGGCCTCAACCACTTGAAAGATGCCAGGATGCTGCGTACATGGAAAGAGGATGTCAAACGAGGTGGAACAACTATTGATAAATTTGTAAAAATTGAAACAGAAACTTTTACAAATTTTAAAGAAGCCAGAGAGTGCTTTGAGCAGGTAAAAAATTATAAAAAAATTATCTATATATTATAGAATTTAAAATTTTAAAAATATATATTGATAATTGACATTTAAAATTTTTGAATTTTTCTAATTGTCAGATTACAACGAGGACTTTACAACAATGGGCAATGGCTATTGCATTTCCACTACTATCGGAAGATTTTACTTTTTTCGCTAGCAAAAGCTGGGTGACCAGATTTAAATATAAATATAGGATAAGGCAAAGGAAAATTACAAGAT